AATCCTTTTATACCTATGCTGACCAGAAGGTTGGAGTGCTGTCAGTATAGCATGTTAAAGCTGTCATGTAATGTATTAATACTTCATAAATGTTTAGATTTTACAACTGAGCATGAAATCAGTGTCACAATTTTGAAATTCAATAAACTGCACATGATTGAAACTTCCAGCATTCTTCTTCAAAACAGGAATAAGGTTATAAAAGCTGTTGTGTTAGATAACTTGAATGGTATAAACAAACTTTCTGCAAAGCTGATACAGATCTTTGGAAGTGCAAGTTTCATAATGGAGATATTACTTCACCAGAACCAGAAGTAGGATAGTTCATGGCCCCGCTTTTTTTAAACTGTGAAACAGGTCTAGGGAAACAGAAAGCACCAGATTGTTTAAATAAGGAACATCAGGAAAAATGTCATATCTTTAATTTAGATGATGTTTGTCACCCTTATATACAGGAAATCTCACCGGGTAAAGGGTATTGGCCAAGACCACTTCTGAAATACAGCGTTTCGAATGATCAGCTTTGCATGTAGTGCAGTAAGAAGCTCTTGTTAGAAAAACAGGTATGCAACAAAGCAAAGATGGAGGAGCCAGTGCAAACTCTGTAAAAAGAGAAAGGCTTATGGTGAAAGTAAAGCTACATGGCTTTGAGTAACCATGGAGACGAAGGCTTTCCTGATGCAGAAATGAATTAACCTTTTCATATTTACTAGTGAGAATGATGCTGAAAGATAAAGGCAAATTAAAATATAGAGCATAAAGGACAGACTTAGCCACTGTCTCTGCTCTGCCAGTGCAGTTTATTGTAATCGATTGTTACAAAGGAGCAGGTATTAGAGAAGCAAGTTAATTATGAAAGGGACAAAATTCTCAGGTTATACCAACCTGTTTGCTAAAGTATCAGGTTCTGTAGGCAGTATGCACACTTTGCCTAAGTGTTTTGTCTGATTAAAATAGAAATAAGATTAGTTTAAGCTTTGCCATAGCAGTGTTAGAAATATACATGCTAGAAAATAGTAAATTGTTTACTGTAACCATGTTAGCAGACATTTAAAGTCTGTTATTTCGGTGCTAAGAATGGTTGAAAGTTTCTATAAGAAGTACTTTGTGGATATTCAGATATCTGTTTTGCCTTGGAAATACAAGTCAACGAGGCATTTTTTAATGGGCAAGTTCTTGCTACAAAAATGCTGCAGCATTAAATGGCAGCATTAAATGTTGCTTGAACTTTCCATAGGCTCAAGAGTTTATGAAGTAAAACTTAAACACAGGTATTTCTGGAACATCTTGTAGAAGTTTTGATTGACTAGAAATCCCAATCAAGAGTTAATTCACAGTACCCACAGGAAAATGCTGAGATCAAGCGTGGCAGTAGCAGACGATGCAGCTGTTAGAAAACCAGGAGTTTAGCAAAAATGGTGTCTCCCTGCTGGAAAGTAAGTGTTTGGGTTGGATGAGAGCTCACGGGCTGGACCTGCACTTCAGGGAGTGAGGGGGAGGGAAGGGGAGGCAGGGAAGTTTACTAAAAAAAAAGTCAGCTCAATGAAAACAACTTAAAAATTATATTTACTACAAACCCCTACAAAGACCCATAAAAACAAGAGTAGAAGAGTCATATAAAACACAAATGCCCCTAAAATCCCAAGCCATCCCTGCCAACATCAGCTATTTTGGTTCAAAATTCAAGTTATATTTATTATAGCTCATTATTCAAAGCTGTCCTGTATCTAAAACTCATGTGCATGCTAGTGATGCCTTCTTTCTCACCTGTTAAACCTTTAGATTCCAGGCAGCAGTGTTTAAGATGGAAACACAGGAGTTTGCTTCAGTTCAGGTAAATTGGAACAAATTCCTTAGAGGTTTAGGTTAATAATCTTTCTGCTCTGTTGTGCTGGACAAAACCTGGAGACTTGAGCCATTTTCTGGGGCTCCTTCTGAACAAAGCAGCAGAATTTATTTTTCAGCTTGGGCTGAAGCACGGCTGTCCCATCACCACCGTTCTGCCACAGAGCTTCAGTAATTGTGACAAGGGGGTAACCTCCATCTCACACCATCAATTCTAACGGAGTGGTAAGACTACCCAAACTGGCTTTAAAGTTCCTCTAGTTTTATGAGGCCATTTACAACTTCCTCTTTGCGACTAAGTGTTGTTAGCCTCAAATCCAGCAAGGAATTCTTGCGCTGTCAAAATCTAGATTTTGAGCAACATCTCTCAAAAACTATAAAGTTTATGGTAATGTTTAATCCTTGCTTTTCCTGCTCTGTCCCCAATCCTTACTTACATTCCTGTTAGGCAGGGCCATTTTTAAAAAATAATCATTACATAAAATGGCATTTCCTGTCATAGGCATTTCTTTTTTCTGGTAAATAATGCATTTCTAAACAGTTCATAGTTTACAGACTTACTATTTCCATTAGTTTCCATGAGAATAGAGTTAAATTCAGTCCGTGGTCCTGCAGTACTGAAGGAAGTTGCCAGGTACGGAGGTAAATACCATGCAGATCTGCAGATAGTGGTAGCAGTTGTGCTGTAATTAGAGGGAGCTACCTTAGCCACCAAGGAGGACAAAACTGCCAACCTGAAGGCAGCTTGGGGAACCATGGGCTTGGAGAAAAAGTTTTTTTTAAAAAAAAAACTTAGGATCTTAAAAATAAGTAAAAGGACACAAACCAGGAATTTAAGTGTAGTACCTATTCAGACAGTAAGCAACTGTGAAACAGAACAGCCCCCCCCAGAAAAGACTATAACCAAGTTCTCTTAGCAACAACTGCCCTTTTCTAGGGCTTCCAAGAGGTAGTTTTTGGTGTGAAAAAGTTCCACCCAATTGCCATCTATAAATGGTAGCTAAGAAACTCTTGACTTGAAGTTATTTTCAATGAAATAGCTTTAAATGCCTATTAACAAAATGAGATGTGAGGCCCAGGTTTTCTGTTCCAGCAGAGAAGCACAAGGGCACCCTGCTGATGGAAATACCAACCGCATCTTGTCTGTGTTGCTGCTCAACACTCACCTGCTACCGCTCACCTCAAAAATGGGAGACAGTCCAGCTTGTCCTCTTCTCTCCCTTTGGTTAAAAAAAGGAGAACTAAAGTACCCGTCCCCCTGTGAAGGGGAAAAGGAAGAAAGAAGACAAGTCTAACCCAGCTGCTAGAGGTAACTGCTTTCTGTTCCTGTTTCACACACATGGTTCACAAATCAACGGTTAATTCAACAAAATACAGGGACATTCCTTCCAAAGTCAGCTGCGCAGCAGGATGGCATACAGGTATTCTGGTCTTTGGCTTCTATTGTAGATTTTTCACTGTATTAGTGGAGAGTGTACTTTGTATCTGCCCAAGACTGACTAGAAATCAGGTGCAAACATCTTTTCCCAAGGCATCCATCAAATAATCCTGCAGTTTAAAACATTTAAAAATAGAACTATTTCCTCCAACATTACTGTAAGTTTCACAGATCAGTTTTTGAAATTTTTATCTTCCTAAATCAAAGCTGTTGCTGTAATTAAGAATAGTTTTGTTCTCATCACGTTTACATTCCCTTATCTAAGTGAGGTTTTCCTTATGTAACTATTGCACTTGCTCCAGTGCAGGACTGGTTTGACCAAACCTATCACAAATCCACTGCCTGTACATTCAAATTACTTCAAAGTAAAGCCAAAGAAAAAAAAGCCATAGCTCTACCTCTACAAGGCGTGTTCTTTCATGTTCAAAGAGCAAGATTCAGAAAACCTTCACCCTTATTTACCCCTTAATACTTAAGTGTTTCTGAGTGACACACAGTTCTCAGTAATTTAATCTATAGTGATCTTCATTGATTAAAAAGTATAAAGGGATGAAAAGTGCAGGTAACATTCCTTGGCTTTCTGTGTCTCCAGGCTACGGAACTGGCAGATCACTGCCCTTCCACTTGATAAACTCGTGTCCTCCAACACTAAACGCAGCGTAAGTTAGTGTTGTAGGACTTCTCCTGTCTTTGTATGCAGTACAAAGATGCTAGGTGGATTGTTTCCAAGGAGGGGATGTAGCAAAGCAGGATTCAACAACAGAGAAGGTGGTACTTGCATGTAATAAAGCAAATGTTTACATTAAGCACAATACAGCAATTTATTTAGATGCTTAAATGAAGAATACAAAGGGAAATAAAGATCACAAAATTATACATACTACAACAGTGTGTCATATATTAGATGGTATAAATGAATACAACACCTTGTTGGTGTTAACTAAAGATAAAACTAAATATCCAAAACACAGCACTCTTGTTTGTGTGCTGCTTCAACACAATACACTTTTATACAGATCTAAAAGGTGTCAAAATTAGTAGCTGCAAACTTTGTTTCTTGCGTGTGATTTTTCTTTTTAGCTTAAAAGATTTCAGAAAATGGCTCTGAAATACATTTCTCATCTGTTGTCATGTCAAGGATATTCAGAACGAGAAAATTCTATAATACAATAGAGTCCAGATATATTTTTATGTTGCTGGCCTCTGTTTTGAGATTGTACAAGGTTATGTGCAAAAACTAAGTTTGTCAAAATTCATACTATAGCAGTTTCAAGCTTTTGCTAGGTAAACTAGATACAGCATTTATTACACAGCAGGGCAACACTAAAAAAGAGAAACAAATCTATGATGGGTACACAAGAACAATTTCATAAGCTTCACTTGAATAGGTCTAAAAGACTGTACAAATATACATTTCAACTATTCAGAATGATACATGAAAAAATCAATTTCCCCATAGTCTACTATACACGTTGAACTGGTAGCTCATATGTTGGCCCTACACTACCATGTGAAAAAGGATAATGTTTAAAAAGACATACAACTGAACATGTACAAGAGTGAAATAAATGCTGAAAATGCAGATAAAATAAACCTCTGCTTTTCGTCGTGTGCATTCTGGAGCCACCAGCGTGTCTGTTTTCACATTTAGTTACTGTGCTCATCCCGGCAGCTGCTCCCCAGGCAGGGGAGCGGCGGCAGTCCCGGCCGGCGCCGCTCACGCCTGCTGGCTGCTCAGCTCCACGCCGGGGAGGCTGCTGTGCATGGGCTCCGCCACGCCGGCCGCCACGCCGTCGAACTGCTCTCCGTCCTCACTGTCCATCGTGCTGCTCTGCCACTCCATCTGCTGACTCGACAAGCTCTCCTCAATCTCCGAGGCATTTTTCCACTGCGACTGGTCCTTGGACCAAAACTCTTCTACTTTTCCATAGGAACGATTCTTCCACTTTGACTGTTCTTCATCGCTTTCAGATCCACCCCCTTTTGCTTCTTCAGGCTGTTTACTGCTGCCAGCATCTTCACTCTGGGAGGATTCATCTGTCCACACTTCTGGCTTTACTTCTGATGTATTATCTTCATAATCAGAGCCCTGTTGAGAACCAGGCCCACTCTCAGATGGTGAAGCTCCATCTTTCCATTCAACAGCATCATCTTGATCATCCTGATCACCTTCACTGTCTGAAACATCACCTACTAGTTTTGTTGGTTCTTCAGCAGAAATAATCTCTTCGTATTTAGAACTTTCCTCTTGTTTTTGATCATTCTTCTCAGGGGACTGTGAAGTATTTTCCTCCCCAGTCTCCTTGGATATGCTGTCCTCTGGATTCTCCACCAGGCTATCAGAAGAGGTTTTCCCACCAATGTCAGAAATTTGTTGACCGAATGGACTACTGCTTTCATTGTATTCCTCTTCTATGTTCTCATAGCTGTCTGAGGAACTGTCATTATCTTTCTCTATGTTTATTTTTTTATCAACAGTCTTACTAACATTGACTCTGACATTCTTTTCATCATGGTTTTCAAAGAGCCATTCAGCATCAAAATCCATCTCGTGTTTAACTTTGTTCAATTCTTTCATGTTGAAACCAAGCAGCACACCAGGCTTATATTTTTCACAATCTCTAACACATTTCTTCCGTTTGTTGCTAAAATGAGAAGCAATATCAGATTTCCATAGCCACAAACTGGCAGCCAGCTTTTCAATTTCTCTCCTAGTGGGATATGGTTGCTTATTAAAATATTTTGTAAGAAATGTTTTCCTGGCTTCATAGGAATCATCTTCATGACCCTTGGGGTCCAAAGCTAAAACTACTGGCTCTTCAGGCCTCTCCTCGAAGGCAGAGGGGGAGTCGTCGTCATCCATCTTCCTTCTTTTCATTAGGGAGAATTCCATGTGTTCGTAAGAGCGTTTTAGAGGGGCTAGAGCTGGAGACTGATTTAGCCGAGATGATGAATTACCTTTTTCTTGGCCGTTCTGAGTCTTCCCAACACCTCTGCAGTGTACAAGGTGCAGTGTTATGGTTGAGGCAGTCATGTTACTAGTATATACACCAAGGCAATGAATGCATTTGTAAGTCAGCTTTTTCTCAACTGGATGAACTGTTTGAATAACTTGATGCCGCTCCCTTAAATGATGTGCAAGGGCATCAGAGATGGGTCCTTTTAGGATTGAGAAGCACAGAGGACAGAGAGTTTTACCCACATCCTTTTTGTAGGGAACTGCTGCTTGCGGAGAACTTTTTACAGGTACATCAGACTTCTCCTGGATTTTCGGCTGTGGTTTTGGAGGTACGGGGGGAGTATTCTGAGCATGATAAGCTACAGACTCAGCAGGAGCATCTCTCAGGTTGTAGGTGGTTACAAGAAGATGTATATTTGTATGGCTACCCTGCTGCAGTGTCAAATCAAAGGTCAGCGTGGAATCAGTTTTAGGTCCCATTTCTTCATCGACATGAACCATTCGCATGTGAGCAGCCATCTTTTCAACATCGTTGAAGGTCGAGCGGCAGTACGGACAAGACAGACCATGTATTAGCATATGGTTAAGCAACGTGTCAGTAGGTAAATAGCGATTACAGTATAGACATTTGCTAGTAAAATTGTGTATTTTCATTATATAATTAGCTACTGCTGGCACCTTTTCAGCCTTGTGCTCCTTTTCAAAGTGGACGCTATACACATTTTCAGGAAAGAGCTCATTACAGATTGTACAGATTTTCCACTTTTGTGTGGATGATGTATTGACAGCAGAGGGACCTGTAGCAGCTACAGGAGATTTTGAGCCAGACTGACCTAATACTCTTGACTGTGACTGAGATAACGATGTTTGCTTCAGCTGACCAGATGAAAGAGAAGATGAATTGCCAGACTGCAGAGAGTATCTTGCTGAGGCCTGTGATCTCTGTTCCCCCCCAAGAGTATAAGGCCTTCCATTTCCACTTGAAAACTGTTTCATTGTTTGGGACTGCTGGGGAATAGAAACTGCGTTGCCGCTTAAGTTCAGCCTTCCCCCTGGCTGACCAACGTAACTCGGTGGTACCGATTTGACTCCGTAATTGTTTTGTTGCAGGTGAACGTTTGACATCATATTCACGCCAGAGTTTAACGTAGGCTTTGGTATAGTGAGTCTGTTCATCATCTGCTGTGACGAAAGCGACCGAACGCTTCCAGGGGAAAGGGGACCCATCCTCTGGGGGAGGCCCATAGGCTTTTTATCCTGTGGTTTTGGAGCTATTAGCATCAAAGGTTTAGATCTTGGAACCACTACGTTAGTGTGACCTATCATTGCTGTTACCTGGTATCCTATACGTTCGTGGTCTTCGATAACATGCTGCACTAAAGCTTCATAGGATTTCGGCATAAAAAGGCATCGCTTGCAGTGAATACTACCCTCCTCGCGGGCGCTGGAGCTTAGCGGAACTGCACCGTTGAGCGACTTGTCACCTCCCTTTGCTACATAAGGAGCAGCGACGTGCTGAAAGTGTTCCCTGTAAATGTGCTTCCTAACTATTTCATACAGAGGATCTCGGTAAGTGCACTTCTTACAGTAATAAACAGCTTGCTCTACACTGTCAGCCTGCTTAGGTTTAAGGCTATCATGTTTGTTTTTATCTTTAAAAGTGCTGATGCCTCCACTCGCTGTATTGGCATTTGGAGCATGAAATATTTTAATGTGCGTTTCCAAAGTCTTTTTGTCCGCATTGAAAGTACAGTAAGGACAGTTAAGAAGAATCCTATTTTCAAAGTCTTCACTATGAACATTCCGGAAGTGGCTTTTGTAGGCGGAAAAGAACTTCGAGGAAAATGGACACGCGCTGCAGCAAAAGGGCTTTGTCCGATAGTCCTTCAAACAAAGAACAAAGCAAAAACTAAGTAACCAAGAGCAGGTTTTAGAAAAAAAAAAATCCCTGATCGTCTCCAAACAAGAACATTTCTTAATATTAGTCTTAAAACCCACTGCAACAACCTCAAACCTTCTATTAACTTCTCTGCAACTTCTGGCTTTAGAAGTTTTAACTGTCTGAAGGAGACACAAAAGCGGAACACGCCAATTTGGAGCTCCCTCAGAGCTTAGCCGTGAGCCCAGCAGGCAGGGTTACATCAGCAGCCGCCTTCACACCAGTCAGCAGAAGCTGCATTCCCAGGGGAGCCCAACGAGTTCACCAAGCCTCATTCTTGGGGAAAAGACAAGCATGACTGCTGGAGGATAATGTCCAAAAGACACAAATTACTTCCCATCAAAACCTGCCAAACATCTATTTATACACAAGATAGATATCTACCTGATAGCTATTTTGGTGTCTTATCTTCTTAATAGATTTAAGATGCTCTTCAAAACTTACTTTATATTGGTGTACAAGTGGAGTTAAGCTTACCAAGTTATGTAATAGGTCCACACAAGCCCTTAAAGCAACCAAGCCTTTTCCTTCAAAGCACAATCCCAATTTTATCTTGAATCAGAAAAAAAACGTATTGGAAAATTTACCACTTGCACACTTTCCCTGCTCCCTCCATCTCTGGTAGCTTTAAGATGTTGCTGGTATAATTCTTGTTAACTGTTGTAACAGAAACTGGAATTATTGTGCATTAGCTTTGGAGATGGCCACAGGCAATGTGGTATTTCAGATGAGATAAAACATGAAATTTAAAGAGTTATGGACATTGCATCGTGTGTGTCAAGCAAGTCTTGTGCATCGAGTTACACCCGGATCATCTAGAGCAGCTAGAGATTGCACTGAGTGAGCAGCTGTGTACGCTCTGCCCACCGTGTGAAGCCTCAGATACCTGGCAGACTGCAGACAAGAGACAACAGAACAAACTAAGTGAAAGCTGTCCCCTTTTAGGCTACAATTTTTATTCTGGAATGAACTAGGGAAAAAAGAAAATCCGTGTAGTTTATGGAACACAGTAATAAAGAACTTTTTAGACAACCACCACGCTAGCAATCTGTCATTGCTTCCCACTTCCTAGAGCAACAATACCTGATCTTGCAGATGCTGAAAAAGTCCTTATTTGATCATCCCCTCACTACATTTCTAGCTTAATCCAGACTTCTTGAGCTTCATAACTGGCTCCATCATGTAAAACAAAACTTCCAGTGTCACTTCATTCTACTGTATATGACTTCATGTACCAAAATGCAGTAATTCCAGACACAGCCAGGTGTCTGACACAGCACCCTGTGGTGTGACAGCTAACAGAACTACAGCAACAGTGGCGAAAGAGTTAGATGCATCTTTTGTGTTTTTTCCCCCCTAAATGATGAAAACAGATGATGAAATTGATTTAGGGAAAGGAAACATTATCAGGCAACTGTATAAAATAATGTTCTTTTGGATGATGAAGCATGGTGAAGGACTCTGAAGTTTTTCTGTGCAGGAGAACAGATGTGCTGCCATTATACAGTTGAAAAATGGTGCGTAAAATTCCTTGAAAATCAGTACTCCGATATTTGGTCATCAATACTTAAATAAAGATCAATAGACACAGCTTTCTGTTGTCACTTAAACTGAAGGCTGCTGATAAACCGATAAACCCAGAGGAAACAACTCGAGCCTATTTGTGAAACACTGGTCAGTGTGAACTATCTTCAGCATCCAAGGTGTCAACAGAAACTATTACCAACCTGATTCTTTGTAAGCGATGGGTCCCACAATCCTACATCTTCCCATGTAGTGTTTTTCAAATAAAAGTCATTAGGTTCAAACTGCTTAAAATCCTGGAGAAGGGGAAGATGGGAAGAGAGTAAAAAGAATCAAAACCAAAGACCAACTGCTCCCTTACACAATTCTCTTAAGGATCCATGTGCTCTACTCAAGTGCTGCCACTTGAGTGGCAATAGCAGAGATCATCAATTCAAGGAAACTTGTGTGTTTAAAATGCAATCTTTGGAGCTGGAAAATTGCAAACAATGACACAAAACACCTGAAGGAAATAATTCTCAACACAAATCCTCCTGATTAACCCAAACCAGCAAGTACATCCCCCCTTTTCAGAAGCAGACACTGAATATTATCTGCTTGCAGCTCAACATTTAACATCATAAATGTGCTTCACCACTAACTTTGATGAAAAAAGACATGAATTCAGATAGAGATTTTATACTTAATCAAAAAATTCTATGATGTCCAAATAGCCCAATTTCAAATAAAAAATAGAAGTGATTTATCAACTTGATGACCTACTGTTCAGCACTGAAACTCTTCATTAAAACTTCAGAATTATCTTCTGTCCCGCAGGAATGTCCTATACCATGCCTAGTTCATGCTCTATTTTTAAGGTCAGTTACTGAATTCTATTTTTAAGAATCCAACATAAGCAAAAAAACTATCTTCAAAGTATGTCAAACCAGTCATCTACAGGGAAATGCATCTCATCCCCACTTAGCTTACTAAAAAGTGCTTGCAAGTATATGCTAAAATTACTAATTAAATCCTACTTTGTGTAGGATTAAAAGCAGAGGTGGCACAAGTCTCCACTAGTAGTTGTTTTAACAACTCCTGAACAATAAAGCTCAGCTGAATCCAGAAGTCCTTCTCAGAGGCTGATGAGAGCAGAGAGGTAAGATGCGAGATCTGCATGCACGGGATTCTAGGAGCAGTTTTCAGAACTTGCAGTAAGTCTTTAACATTTCTTGAAACGGATTTAAAAAATGAATTCATTAATTAAAAAATCAGATACCAAAGACCTCACAGTCCACTAATTTTGAAGCAGCTTAGCTCTAACTGAAACACTTGGTAGGTGTCATACTTACTTCTATATGTTCTTTACAGTATTCCAAACCAATGTCACTAAGTATTTTTTTCACAGTTTTCCGGGCCTTTCTTAAACTGCCAAGGTTGTTGACAGGAAGTTGGAACATAGTTTCTATTGAAAAAGAAAGTAAGAGAAAAAGTTTAAGTCAAATGTGTTTTGTCTCATGAAGAGCTGCATTTTTCATTATCTGTTATCTTCTCTCTCATGCTACCCACATTACTGGATCTCAGAGCTGTACCAGTAACTAAGAGAGCTGCCCTATTTTCTGTTTGGTTCTTAAATGAGGTGGGCCATGAAACTTAAAACCTGATGTATCAGCTACTGCAGCAGTAATCAGCCCCATCTGGAAATAATTTAACATGTTTACATTTACATGAAATTGCCTCCTGTGCTGAAATACTTGAGTTATTTTTGTGCATTTGGTTTCCAACTGATTTGTAAATTAGTGAGTTGAGCATCAGTGTCTGTCACTCTTGCAATGGTTTAACAGCATCTCTTCAGAAAGGAAGATGCTTCTCGCATTGAGCTAGTCACCCATGAAATCTTAATATCCCATGCTAGGGTATTCTTTAATATCTTATGGTAGTTCCCCCTTCCCCCCTTTTATTTTAGGAATGCCTATCACCAATACCACAACCGATTGTGTTAACCAACAGAAAGTCCTCAAGAAACTACTGAAACGAGCCTGTTAGTTAAGGATGCCTTGGATTGAGGAAAGTGAGGCAGGACAAAGAAATTAAGTTTCATCCATTTTATAGATTTACAGATTTAAATGACTGGATGGCTGACAAGCTACAGATACCAGAAAAGACACTGTTAAACGTACAGGATAGACATGCTGCTTTTCTTAGAAGCATAACCTGACAGCTTGTTTAGAGCCCTTGAGAGACAGAAAATACCAGAAAATATGAGAGATAGGATTCCCAGCCAACATGATAAACCCTTTCCTTTCAGTTCTCCATGTGTAGATAAATTAATTCCAATTACATTGGCTGTGAATGACTGAAGCTCTTCAACTACATGTCTAAGCTTTTAAAGGCTGTGGGTTTCCAAATTCTCCCGTTATCGTGAAGACCAAGGTCCCTTCCAAACGCTGACAGTAGCTGGTCCTCCTGATGGTGCGTGCAGAGGAGCCCTCCCCCTGCACGTCCCTGTCATTACAGCAGGGCTACAGAACCATCAGCAACGCATCACCCGGACGGCTGCGTGGTGCAAAATGGCACCGAGGTTACAATATTCGACAGCACAAAAGTTCTCTTGGAAGTGGGAAGAGGGTAGGGCTAGTGACGAGAAGACAGCCTATTCCTGGAGAAAGGGGGAAGCAGCTTCTCAAAGAACAGCTGAGCATCCGAGCTGCATGTGGCTAGCAGAGCTCCACGGGCCTGCGCCTGCTGCGTGAAGAGCATCAGATCACTGTTCCTGTGCCAGCTCAGCAGAGACGCTTTGCTTGAGCCCTAAGACTTGATCCTTATCAACTAATTAATTCTTTGTAAGGCCAAACGCTACCTACATCAACTAGAGCGTTTTTTTAAGCTTTGAAACTCTTTATGGGAGATCCTAACACTTTCAAGCAGAAGTCTAGAATACAGAAAGAGTAATTTTACAGCCATTAAATTTTATTAATTTTTTCCCCTTGCTGCCACAGGATGAAGGGCAATCTCTATATTAGAAGGAGCCTACTAAGGATTTTCTCAAAAGTACCAAGGAAGTGGGTTGCCACTACAGTAACCGAGCACATCTCTGATCAAAGACCAAAGCACCGTCATACATGAAGCACGACGTAGCTGTTTGCATAGCAGCCTTTTAGGTTTCACACTCCTACTAGCTTTTCCTAGACAAAGCCTTAAGACAGTCACTAACAAGTTACCTATTCCCCGGCTCCTACCGTTAACACTGTTTATTTTCAGAAATGAACACGTTCATGTAGCGGTGCTGGTACCACGACAGTCAGTCGGGCAACCCCCAGGTCGGAGCTGCTGGCGGGTGTCGCTAAGCACCAACATCCTCAAACTCAGGGAATCAGAAATAGCTCCTCGGAGCAGAAGGATGAGCGGGGTGTTAGGATTCATATCACAATTAGAAATTAAAGAGTAAATTAGATTGTGTTATATAAAGATCTACAGGAGGTTTTCGGAAGTACTAAAGCAACTCTGGTTACCAAGTATTTTAGTACTTGTATCAACCTGGCTACTGGTCAAAAACTACCAGAAACAAAAACAGTGTTGCTATAAAACCCGCTAGGCATAAACTAAGGGACCAAAGAAGCACATTTAGGATACTTTATCTATAAATCTCAAGATTTTTAAAATTATAGTTTCTGCAATTGATGACGCTACTTAGAGACTTCTCTCTAAAGCTTCTCATAGGGTAGTATAGGAAGTCATGAACTGATGAGTTTTATGCTGTCATCACTCTCATCTGTGTTCTTATCACCAGAGAGAGCATCTGAAAACGCCACCAAACCACCAACAAAAATGCTGCCTGTTGCCAAGACGTTCTGCCCTCTGCACAAGAGCCAACGTGCTCGTGCGCAGGGCGACCAGGCCAGGGCAGCCCTTGGGAACGCGACTCCCTCCTGCCTAGCGGGTATTTTTCCATCTTGATAAAGGATTGGGAAAGAAGATTTCAACCTGAGTTTCTAACTTACTGTTATCTGAAAACTGAGTTGAGCAACTTATCATCTGCATCTAAGCTAATGGTTCCTTTATCATTTTTTTCCTGAGTCAAACTTATCCAGGTGCCTTTCCTCTATCTCATTAAGGCCCATTTCTCATTTCAGATCCATTTTTACAGTCATACACTGAAGTTAAACACTGTAAAGATAAACATACATAAAATTTTGCAGCTCTAGTATATAGTAGGTTTTGATAAATAATTACTACGTGCTAAGTTCTCTTCACGTTTTGCCCTGTCCTCACCCGTACTGTGGACAATCCAAACTGTTTTGGGGCTTTTAACAGGCTCTGAAGTCCACAAAAAACAGGAGACAAGAATTTATTCTCAGCTGCAATACTGACATGTATCTCCTATGACCTCAAAATTTGGATGTGAACTGGCTACAACTTCTAAGGTCTGAGAAGTCTGCAGGAATCAGCATTCACTCAACAGGATCCTGTCCTGAAGTGAGAATGGGCCAAAACATAACGCAGGCTCACTGATTTAAATAGCAATTATGACCGTGTTCCAGGAGAGCGACTAAAACTGCAGACTAGGAGAGGCAACAACACTGTGCCTCATTCTGTCAAAATCAAAGGCTTTTAGCCTTTCTTTTAGCTTGGATTCAAAGCTATAATAAAAAGGAGATTTCTCTTCAGGGTTTCTATTACTTGACAGCAAAGGGATTTTTCACTACTCAAGTTTATGAGCTTGGGAAAAAAAAATATTGCATAACACCCCTAATGTTCTCAGAAGCCTTAGTGTGAGCAAAATGCAGAAAAAAAGGGAAAAAAACTAATCCAAGGAAGCAGGAGGAAGAAACTCGTTTCTAGAAAAGATTGCTGGTTTAGTAACACAACAGCACAGACATGCAAGATACTGATCAGGACTGCTCATTTTTGACACATGACAGAAAAGTGGAAAGAAAAGTCTAGCACAGATTAAGGACAGGAGAGTCATGGAGGAGTTTTAGCCAACCCTAAATTCTTCAACATATCTTTGCAGATTTTAGCGTCTAGATAAATTCTCTGTGATTTTCAACTCCAAATTACCTTTCACCAACTTGCTACTCTTGCTAGTATTTTCAATTCCAGATGGAAACCACTGCAGTCACTATTTTAAAGGCATCCAGATTGTCAAATCTGACACATTGTCCTGCTATGTTACTTGCAGTGTTTTGTAAGCCCTCTTTTTGTTTAATAAAAATAAACTATCTTCACTGAACAGTTTAAAGCCAGTTTAGCATTCAGATTGTTACAGTCACACCGTTCAGTCCCTTGAGATTTCAGTTACCACTTAAAGAACTAATTCAAAAGAGGTAAAAGATTACTGTGCAATTACTCAGAAAATTAACTGATATAAAAACAGTACTGCACAGCTGCCCTAGAGCTCTACATGGCAACAGTTTAGATTTTCTTATGCTATGTACTTTTGTCAGTGCAAACAGCCCTCCCTTATGAGGGAAGCACTATATGCAATATATTGTACTCCCAACTTGGGCTCTGCTCTTGCAGGAAGTTATGCAGGCAGGAGAAAGAGGGGAAAAGGACACTGGAGGTGATGACAACAAAAACCTCTTAGCAGTCAAATTCTTGGAGGCAATATAAAAACATAAGCAGCACTTCTACTCTGTAAGCTCAAAAACTTGCTTCTATTTTAGTGCAACTAAAATCTTAATTCTCCAGTTAAGAATTCTTAATTCTCCAGTTAAAACTCAGTTCATAAAGAGCATCATTGTAAAATAGCATTACCAAAAGTAACAAAAAATTCCTAAAACTATCAACAAAAACTGGTCCTAACACATTTCATTGGGGCATCTCAAACATGAATGCGTAGGCTACATATCCCAATGCTAAAATGGCACCAACTCCTGAAATAACTCCTTTGGAGGAAATCAAGCCAGTGGACTTTTCCTAAAAATGTTACAGCAACATTGGTAGTAAATTCCCAAATCTTCCTATAATACCATTATCTGGCTATTTCATTTACTTCCATTGGGAATTTTAGGAATGCGGTTCCAGATTCCTCTGCTAAGTTCATAGAGCTGCGAAGAAGTTAGTTCAACCATGCAGCCAATCAAGAAAAGGACAACCACAGGACAAAACTTTCATGGAAACAGGTGAAAATTAGAAAAGAAAAACAGAGAAAGAACTGACAGACTAGAGACCCCTGAAAACAAATGCATTTTGTCTTGATGCACATTTATCAATTCAGAGATACTCTGTTTTACAAACTAACGGCTTCCAGGGCTGTAATGGAATTCTTATACTGGTAAAAACCTAAGGATAGAAACCTGGTAGCTCATTTGATAAAATTATTCTTCCTTCACAATGAAATACATAAATATACTTCACATAAGCAACAGTTACCCTTTGTCCTTCCCCGTTAATATGTTAGCCTCTTTTTTGTACTGCTTGGAACAACCAGCACTAGAATAATGCCCTATGCACATTCCATAGGTTGGGCGTTTTGGTTTGGAAGAATAAAAAACCAATCACAAGTAAACAGCCACGAAGTTAGTAGCCTTATTAATCTTAACTCTTCATTGTTACTGTGTTCTTCCAGGATGTCTCACCACAACCAGCTACTCAAAACCAACAGGCTAAACTGCCTTTCTGCAGTTCAATTAGTGTAGTTCTTTAGCCCTAACTTGAATGTTAAGGACAGAAAATTCAAAAGATGGAGACAACTGAATCAGTTTCTGACTTGCAGATACCAAAGTCTGCTCCAGTTCAGAAGTTGTCTGCTGCTGTTCAGAAGAGGCTCTATTTCACCAAGGATGAAGTGTGACAACCCCTTCCCCCAGTGCGTACTGCGAATACCCTGCAGGCAAAGCAGCTCAATCTTGCCACAACAAGGGCTGCAACATCCCCAGCTGTAAAGATAGGAACAAACTGTCATCACGTTTGACAGGAGCACCATCCTTTTTACTCCAAGGGCTCTAATTTCTAAATTGGTTTAGATTTCCAGCTGATGAGAGCCTGAGTACTCTGAAGAACTGTCTCCCAGTATAAATCTGTTGCCCATTCATAAGCCCAAAGCTCAGGTTTTAAAGCTACTGCAAAACATTTTCTAACTCCTGACAAAGACAGACCTGTGTAAAAGTTAATACAAATGCAGTTTTAAAATATGTCTACTTCCTTTTATGTAAACTTCTCCCATTTGTCAAATTTATAGATTTGAGATGCCAACACTTTAGATCTAATCACACTGAAATATTCCGGAACTGAGTCCTCCTTAAAACACTCTGAATTTTACACTTCTGTACAGCCTTTGTAATACAACTTCTCTTGGAATAAAAAACAGCAATATGATATGACAACCACCTTTTGGGCACATCGTGAAAAAATTCCATTTTACCTTCTCCCATAACACATTTTGTTGACCCTTTCCTTCTCAAGGCTGTTATTTATTCATATTATGAAGCCCTTCGTGGTGATCTGAAACACAGTATTAACCAACTGCACCGTTCAAGACGGCATTAGGTGTGAGCATGTGTGCAAAACAGACAATTTCAAAGATATGTAAAACCGGTCTTCTCTATCCTGTTACGCCTTTTGAGTTTGTGTGCATCTATATTCAGATGGATCTTGAGCTAGTAAGATGATTAGCTCTTCAGGAACTGTAATTAATGAACACCCATTTCTTGTACATTTAACTAAACGACACACATTTTCTATTATTTCTGCACATGCTTACAAAATGGAACAGCTCTATCCCTTTCCCTCTCCCCCTCATCATCCCTCTGCTGCTTCAAGGGATCCATCCTTTCAGTGCTCTTTCCCCCGCTCCTCCTCATTCTTTTCTTTGCTGGTTCTTGGCTTCGTGGTCCTTACCTCGCTCATTTTCCCTCTTCTCATCTTCCCTGCGCCAATTCATAGTGTCCACATTCCTTCGGCGTTCTCTCTCATCCTGTCTCCACCGCTTCTTGATATCTTTGTCCTTAACTTGCTCATTTTCTCTCCTCTTCTCATCATCCCTGTGCCATTTTATTGTTTCTGCATTTCTCTGTGGCTCCACGCTTCTTTTGAGATAGTCTTGTCGCCTCCTCCTCTTTTTTAACATATCCCTCTCCCTGGCACGAGCCTGCTTTTCTTTCTGGGAAAGAAAAGCTTTACGGGGCATCATGAGCTGCTCCTGTACCTGCAATAACATTGTATTCCATGGAATAACATGCTATACATGCACTCAGTCAGGCAGGCACCAACAACTCGCGCTTGGAGCTCAAAACTTCAGTTACTCAAGGCAAGGAAATTGGCTGCTGCTTCTGTTTCCTTCAGACCCCGCTGCCAGCTCTGCAGCAGGCACTGACAGGCTGGGCAGCCCCGCTCTGCGCAGCGCCCCCACGCCAACCCCGAACCCCAGGCCCGGCAGGACGATTCCTCTGCCCTCCCCCTTGCGACTTCTCCCCTTTTTAGCAGCCTTTCGGCACCGCCAGGTCCAAGTGGAAGAACAGGCTGGCAGGAGAGAGTTGTGAAGGAAACAGCTGTGTCCAAATCCTAGCTCCTCCTCTTACCAGAGATCTGTATTTAATGCAACCGCTTTAATCTTTTCAGACCTCCATTTCTATCAAATTTGGATGAAATTGGCCAACTTCCTTCAGACGTGGGGGAGGGGAATAAGAGACAAGCCACAATGAAAAATTGTATAAGCTTCGTTTCCTCGGGAAACCAGGCCAAACACTGAGCTGCAGTTAATGAAGTTGTGACTCATCTGCTCAAACTTTCTCTACATATGTTATGTCTTGCAATATTCACAAGAACAAAGAAAAAAAGATGACTATTTACTGGGAGCTTCTGCCGACAGCAATCCTGATTTGATTTTTAAAAGATGTTTCAATTCAGTTTACATTTTACCAAATTGTTTTACTTTTGGTCATTTCTCTTTAGTCATCCAATGCATTCACATCTCATCAGGGTTAATATCTGCATTTCCAGAATAAGGGAAAGCAAAACAGATCACAGAAAAAAAATACGCTACTACTACTGTTCAAATACTCCTCTGCGCACATCGAGCAAAGCCTCGTAAGTTGTGGCCCAGGGCTTGGGGTTTTGGGGTTTTTTTTTGAGTTTTGTTTAGAAGAGAGTTTTGCAGATGTGTAATCAAAATGAAAACTGCAGAAAGGACAGAATCACTAGATTAGAATAGGATACTTAAATAAAGCCTAAAATAAAATGAAACAAATGTACTTTTAAAATTTAGCTACCTTATGGAAAGCACTTGTTCCCAGCATGCAATACTCCATCCTTTTCCTACAGAAAAAGCAATGTTTCAAACCCTTATTCTAAAAACCTGCTTTTTCCCTGTGTAAAATATCCCTCCCCCTTGACTTAAACTCACTACTCTACTCCACTGCCTTTGTTATGTCTTATGATCACATATATTTTTCATTCTAGTAATTCAAAACATATTCTCCTATTATTCATGATAACACTAAAAGGGAAGGGCTACAGTGAAATAAAACACAGCATAATCATATAAAATGCATGCAGTTTGGTAACAGGTTAGTGCATAAAATTTAAATTCTGCTAAAAATGACAAGAAGTACAAAGCATCTCTCTGCTAGACAGTTTGTTTTAAAATGTTAAATATTTCTCAGTAACAGCTATCACTGATATGAAAATCCAGGATCAACATCATCAATGCAACTAAGACTGCTGATCTTTAAAATATTTTAGTTTTTCTACTGGCTGTGCGCCATTACTGTATCAACCTTAACTTAGTAACTTTTAAAATGTACATTATCCTTAGAATTTTACTGGTAATCTGGCTTCGCTCCAATAACAGTATTATGAATACAATTTAAATCATATATTGCATGCAAAAGATTCCCCCTCCCCCTTCAAGGCAAGTACTGACATTTAAAATTTTCACTTTTAGAATCCTTTTCGGAAGTAATTGTTGTATTTTCTTTCATTTGTTCATTTTTTTTCCTTCTTTTGGCTTTTTTCTTTAGCATTCCTCCCTCCCCTCCATGAGACATTCCAGTTCACTTTGAGAGACCAATTTATATACAAATGATAGAAAATATCTCAACATGACATTTCTAATTTGAAACACAGTTTAACTAAAATGTCAAATTCCAAGGAATAGCTTAAAGGGACATCCAACTTAAGTTACATTTTTGTCTTTTAACTTTCATATTACAAACCAGAAGTTCTTCCCAGGTTTTTTCAACATGAGACAGTACTTCAGGCTGTCTTACCCTTTCTCCTGTAATAGTCAAAATTGTATTTCGATTTTGCCTCTGTGGGTTTTAACAAACCAAAAGGGAAGGGGAAAAAAAATAAAACCAGGAAACTAATTACAATCCAGTGAAGCTGCCGGGGAGGGTTTGAAGCTCAATGGCTCCCTCATCCCAATTTTTCTTTAGTTCAAGTTGGTGTTCCTTTAAGTGCAGTATCCCAGTGTCAGAAGCAAACAGAACTAGCCTTTCAACTACTTTTTGCCCATGCTTGACCAAATGAAAATCTTAACTTTTCCAATTCTATTCAGTATACATTACGAGGTATTTACCTCCAAAAATAATGGTGCTTGGGCGTCTCAGACTCATTGGACAAGTTTCATGCAAAAGCCTCCAAAAATAATTCTCCTTCCAGAACGCCCACCTCAGCGATTATATTACACCTACTGTGTGAGGCCAAAGCCCGGACATAGAAGAAGGATCATATCCTGCTGTACAAAACAAAGCGTTAAAAACAAGAGATAAGAAATGTGATAAGGGCAATCTTACATTTATAAAGTACGTTTCATTGTGAAGAACTCCAAAGCTCGTTATTAACCACATATACGGTACCTTTACTGACACGCAGCTACTGTGAAGTGCAATCCAGAAAATGGTGGTGCAGAGACGTGGCACGTTTATGTTCTAACCGGACTCCTCTGGGTGATGCTGCCCAGGGAATGCTGACACTGGGGATTTCATCAAGTTACTCTAGTCAGATCCAGCAGGCTACAAGCGCTCCTATTCCCATTTCTACAAGCGCTCCTATTCCCATTTCTACCCACGCTCCTATTCCAGGGGTTAGGGCCTGAGCTCACATCTTCTCTGAGCTAAGCGCTCCTATTCCCATTTCTACAAGCGCTCCTATTCCCATTTCTACAAGCGCTCCTATTCCCATTTCTACAAGCGCTCCTATTCCCATTTCCCAGGAGCTTTTGACACCAGGGGTTAGGGCCTGAGCTCACATCTCCTCTGAGCTGTGGAATGTGCCGTGCACTGCGTCAGCAGCCTCTCCTCGTGCACCGCATCCTTCCAAGAGGGCTCACATACAAACACGGCCCAAACTTTCCCTAAGGAAACCCTAAGGGAATCCTTTGGATGCACATTTTCAACTACACAGCTGCTAGGAGGAGGATGTGAAGCAATCTGTTGGGTAAGGGCATGTCGGGTACTATGGTTCTAGAGGAAGGTGCCTGATACCTCTTCAACTCCTATCATCCACAGATGGAAATTCAGTTTTAGACAGATCGGAAACAACTTCAGCATCATGAAATCAGGTACAACCAAATTTGAAGTTTATAAAAGCAAAATTTGTTGAGTCACTTAAATTTAAAACTGTTAAATTTTACCTCAGTTAATCATTTAGATGCATAGCATCTACACCTTGAAGTATGGATTATTTTTCTGTGGCAAATATGACTAACAAGTAATACTAAAATGTTGAAGAAATTGAATAAGATAATATTCTTAAAAAAAAAAAAAAAAACTTTCTGAGGCAAAACAGAGTACTAAATGTATTTTATAAAGACCACAGGTGGTATCTTCAAGAGCTTAAGAATGATGCATTACCTTGTTTTAGAAAAACACTTGCTAGAAGAAAATTATTTCTCCTTCATAATGGATTGTCTTCTAAGTAGGAGGGAAAATTTAGGCTCTTTGTGAAGCCCAAATTACCTCTCTCCTACTGGACCCTCATTGGGGAAAGTTCACTTCCAGAGGAGGACTGAACTCACTTGAGAGCAAGTTAGCGACAATAACTGCACCAGTCTGAAGAGAGGAAAATTAAGCACAACAAAGTATTTTATCACATACTGGGTCTCCCAAAGACCGAGTGTTATCCCTGCATTGTGCTGCACAGCAAGATCACTCAGCATCTAGCATTTTTTCTGACTTTGGAGCTGCACAAAGTTTTTTCCTTAGTCTTCATTTTGACGGTATTTTAAGTTAAAGAAGTTTTTGGTTTATAAAAGTGCAATGTAATAATGAATATCAGATGACAGCAACTGCATGTCCCTCAGCTCAGTGAAGTGACTGGGTTTTTAGGTGTTTTGCTTGCTTAAGACTCCCTGTTCTAAACACATTTTAAGCAAGTTTGACTTCTAATGATTTGCCTAGTTAGTTGCATTCAGGGGTGTGCTCTAAATATCTGGCTATGAAAGTCAATTTAACACAATATAAGCAAGATTTGTAGAAATACAAGAAAAAAGAGTAAAAAGAAAAAAACCCCTATGGTTCCCACCGCAATAGAAATTACAGCCTCTCTCACATAGGCAAGGTGATACTAATATTACGTTTTATATTCCCAAGAGGAAAACAGCAATCACATGGAAGCTGGTATTCCAGGACCTGAAAATTCCAGGAGACTTGAGCAAGGAAGAGAAGCAGATTTGTGCAATGGTCAAGAAGCAGAAAGATGGCACAAGGGAGAATAGGCAGATCAGGAATAACAGGAGCAGACACATTTGGGAGAAGCAGCCAGAAGAGAGAAGCTAGGAGAACCAAAAATTGACAGGAACTTCCTCAAGCTGGTAAGAACATCTTCCTGAATATCTCCCCCACTACGCTGACCCAACACCTTACTCCCAATACAACTAGCACTGGCTTACATCGTGTGTGCTCTTTCTTCTGTTGGACTCTTTTCTCTCCTCCATATTCGAGCATTTCTGGCCTAATTTTCAGAGGGGCTGTGCGCCCACATCTCCTGTGAAGGCAACGAGATTTACAGTTACACAGCACATCTGAAATGCCAGACAACTAACGCTTTATTCTGCAAGTCTGCTGTAATCTTAGGATGGAGGCTGTAGCTGCATGCACACCCTTCTCAGGGTGTCATTCTGAACACACAGCACCTCTACAACATCAGCTCAAGCATCTGCAGCACCAAGCTTCCATGTAACATCCTTGTCTAATCCAACTTATCCCTAAGCATGTTCAATTCCAAGCAGGTAACTCTGCATAATTGCCACGCTGGGTGCAGCGCTTCAGAACATGCTTAAGGTTGCACATCACTAACCACAAGCCCTCAGGTGGCCCTTTAACTTGTAACTATATTCAAAACGGGACTAGACACTTTAGAAAGATGCCCTTTCAAACCCCAATCAAACCCCTTCAAAAAAAATCTGAGCTTTATCATTAAGATAAATGGAACTGAAGGAAATTAACAGAGATTTTTCAGTGTTTGGTCAATCCACTGCGTGACTTTTACAGCATTAGGTACATAACAATCCTCGACTTCCCTCTCACAGTTAAACTATTTCTAAAAAGTCCTCTCATCAAAAACAAAAAACAGATTTTTCAAAGAAGGTTTAAAAAAAAATCACTGTAGAGATTAGTTAAGTCAGCTACCTTAAAAAAATAAAGTCAAGCTGTGTGCCAAACAAACAAAAGGACAGCTCACCCTGCCTTCCTGCACATTAGTAGGTTGTCCTCCTTTTCTGACTTTTATACTATGTAAATATTCCTTTGTGGGTGGGGAGAGTGCAAGTTCATCTAAAATCTGGTACTAAAAAAAACCCCACCACTTAAAATCCCTTTGCAGGAAGTTCTTAGGCAGAAAAGTTAACATGTATATAAGCACAAACAGCAATCTTCTGCAGGGGCTTAGGAAATTCTGTTTTATCCTGGATTTTTGGAGTTTATTGTCTAGCCTCAATCTGGTGACTCTTGCACTAAGCTCCAACATCCCATCAGTGAGGAAGGTGGACAACCAGTGTCCCAGTGAGAGGAATCAGCAAGGCTGATGTTTCTTATTTTCCATTCATTTTTTAAAGGTTAAAAAAAATATATCTGCAGTCCAACAAACAGGAATCTAAGTCATTCACACACTTCTCATTCTTGCTCGATTTCTGGAATTTTCCACTGGTGCCAGAAGCTCCATCTGCTGGGTGTGTATACTAACTGCATAACTGTAAGGGAATTAACTATTTCCTTATCAACTTTAAGTTTTATACACTGCATAGTTCTTATGCCCTAATATCAAACACAAGATGGCTGAATTTTGCTTGCTCTGGGAACCATAATTCCTAATTTGTTGGTAAATAATCTGTAACCTTACACTCTACTGCGACTTTCTGTTGTGTTTTCTATTTATTTTATTTGACCACAAAGACTAAAAGATAGGGTGAAAAAAAGAATTATTGAACTGCATTTGAATGTTCTCTAAAGGGCTTTTTTTTTTTTTTTAAGAACACACATGACAAAAACACCACAACAATTCCAGCAATCTATAACACATTCTGAGACATATTTTTTAAGTTAGATCCATTCTCCAGGGCATGCTGTACATCAGTGCGTAGGATGTTTTAAATTAGGGACATCAGCAACTCAAAAAGGAGGCTTTCCCACCTGCAGTCATCTTAATGTCTTTTGTGACTACTCAAGATAAACATTTATATGCATCTACATACACAGTGAAATCAATATGTAATAGACAGGCTCAGTGTGATAGTCATGCTTGCTTAGGGCCATTAAAGACTTTTGTTTGAAATGTAATAAAGCTTGCCCATCTCATTGAAATTTGAAAACAACATCAGAGGCCACTGAAGCACAAAGGATGTAATTTGCTTACACCTTGATATGCATACTTCAGTGGTCAGGAAAAAAGGCTGCATGAAAATGTTTTACATTTTCCAAAGTAATCCTCATCTGGATTGTAGTTAAACATGTACAATCCCAGAACAAAAATTATTTTAGGAATAAAAGCATACTTCAGGATTTGCAGTTAGTGTTCAAATTGAACCAAGAATTATCTTGAAATTTTCAATCTAGAAAAGGTCACAAAAGCAGCAGCACAGGTCTCTGTAAAATGTGTGACAATAATGTAATCAGTATGCATTTAATTTAGGACTGGATTACACCAACTTGGAAACTGCAATCAAAGATCTGACTGCAAGCAAAACAGTAGTCCTAGCTTCTCTTCCATGTTTTCTGCTACCACCAACTGTGTCAGCAACAGCACTCGTGCAGCAGGCAGAGGGCTGATCCAACAGAAAACAAGGCATTCTCAGCTAGAGCAGTTCCTAGAGGAGCGCCAGCACTGGTGCACGTAGGGTGGCAGGTAAGGTGGGCTCGTACCAGCACGCTCAGCAGCAGCGTGGTCACAGATATTGCCCATGAAACTGCACTGTGCCTCCTAACTGGTAAAATGCCCTGCTCGCATGCTGTTAAGTAGCAGAACAAATCAACAAAAGGGAGCATTCAAACACTTTCACAAGCTCATCCAAAATTCTGCCAATACACGTTTTCTCAGATAGCAGATATATTAGATATTGAAGTGATCCCGCCAACTGGCTAGCGCCTAAGTATTTAAAATGTAAAAATAGCTTGTGAAGTAGGCTGATTCTGATGATTTTTCCTTTGCACTACCTCTTCACACACCCTATGCACAAATGCTAGCATTATACGATTGGGTAAAGTCTATAAACATGAGCTTAAAATCAGTCTTACCACTCCACATTTCTTACCTCTTTC